CTTGTGGTTCATGGTGATAGGGCAGTGATGATGATTGATTGCTTACAAATGCTCCTTCTTGTAGCCAAGCCCTCTGACCCCGTGGTATCGGGACCCTCAGCAAGGACCACACCTGGGCAGACAGTGAGCTTCACCTGCGAGTCCCATGGCTTCTCCCCCAGAGACATCACCCTGAAGTGGTTCAAAAATGAGAATGAGCTCCCAGTCCTCCAGACCAAGGTGGTCCCACCAGACAACAGTGTCTCCTACAACATCTCTAGCAGGACTCAGGTGTTGCTGACCTCAGATGACGTCCACTCTCAGGTCATCTGCGAGGTGGCCCACACTACCTTGCAGGGCTCTCTTCGTGGGATGGCCAACTTGTCCCAGACCATTCGAGGTAGATGACACTCACACTCAGACCCTCACCTATTCTTAAGCTTGCCACTATGCCACCAGAGCTCCTTCAGTTCCAGATTGAAAAAAAAAAAAAAGCCAAACCCACTGCCATCAAGTCAATTCCAACTTATAGTGACTCCATTGGGTTTCCAAGGCAGTAAATCTTTATGGAAGTAGGTTTCCACCTCTTCCTTCTTCAGAGTAGCTGGTGGGTTTGAACTGCCAACCTTCTGGTTAGCAGTTCAATGCCTTAGGCGCTATGTCACCAGAGCTCCTATTAGTCCCTCCCAATTACCATAAATCTACAATGTGTCACTCCTAGGAAGGAAGATGGGGCAATCTACTTCCATAGTGATACTGCCTCGGAAACCCAAGGAGGGGTCTCTATGAGTCGGTCCGACTTGACCGCACATGACAACACAATGTGTCAGTCATACTGCTCAACGCTTTCACTTATTATGTTAATGCAGCTTCCAGTTGAATACCTTCCATGTGTCAAGCACAGTGCTAGGTAGTTTCATTTATTTTACCAAAAGTGGTGGCAATTATATACCATTGACTACATGCTAAGGCCCTGTGTGCTTGGAGATTTTATTTATTTTGATACAGTTCCAATTGCATGGAAGCCAAAAACTTATCCATTGAACTTGTCATTATCCTAATAGGAGCTATCATTCCTTGAGCACCGTGTGCCAGGCACTGTGCTTACTGATTTCATTCATTATGCAAAGAGGTTGTACACTGTTAGAACAGCTGCTGCACAGCTAGCACTGTCCTTGGTGATTCCCTTGCCATGATGGTGGGAGCTAACCATTATTGAGCCCCCTCTCTGTGATTTGTGTGCTTTGTGCTGTTTCAGTTCCGCCCACCTTGGAGGTTACCCATCTCCCCATTGAAGGGAATCTGGTGAACGTCACCTGCCAAGTGAAGAAGTTCTACCCCAAGAGCCTGCAGCTGACCTGGTTGGAGAATGGATATGTGTCCCGAACAGATTCAGCCTTGATCCCCACCAAGGAGAAGGATGGGACCTATAGCCTGAAGAGCTGGACCCTGGTGAACTCATCTGTCCACAGGGAGGATGTGGTGCTCACCTGCCAGGTGGTGCATGACGGGCAGCCAGCAGTCACCAAAAGCCAGATTCTGAGCATGACTTCCTTCCTGAAGGACCAGAGCACACAGTCAACCTCTGGTGAGACCTCTACTCCACCCCACCTGCTCTTTTTAAAATTGTATCTTAATTTTATCTTTATTTTTGTGATGCTAACTATAGTCATTCATGTTTATTATAGTTGTTCTTGTTGTTCCTTGGTGCCTTTGACTTGGCCTCCAACTTATGGTGACTCCTTGCTCATGGATCAGACTGTTGTGATCCATAAAGTTTTCATTGGCTGCTTTTTGGAAGTAGATTGCCAGGCCTTTCTTCTTAGTCTGTCCTAGTCTGGAAGCACCACTGAAAACAGTTTAGTGTCATAGCAACAGGTAAGCCTCCACTGACAGGTGAGTGGTGGCTGCACATGAGGTGCATTGGCTAGAAGTCGAATGTGGGTCTCCCACTTAGATGGTGAGAATTTTACCACTAAACCACCAATGTTCTCATGGAATAATCTGGATGCTTGTAAATACAAACTAGAATTTTAAAGTGAGCTGCCTTTTCCCATATGCCACAATCCAAGATCCCTCACCACTGTAAGAACTTCGGTATATATCTTTATAGATAATTTAACATAAACATATATTAATGAAAGATGGAAAGGCAAACAGAAGGAGAGAAAGAGATCATATTGTTCATAGTGTCCTACCCCTTGCTTTCTTCAACTAACATATTCTCTGGTCCATGTCAGCCCACACCCTTCCTCCTTGTTCTTTCTGTCATCTGCCCTGTCTGCCTAACAGTACTGCAAGCTTGTCCCAGGGTTCACCCAAACAGTCTACTGGATGATGGTGCACTTAGGATGTTTGCAGGTTTTATGGTTAGTACTGGAAAGAGCAAGGAAGAATCCAAAGAATTTAGCCCCAATTCTGTGTAATACCTCAGCCAAATGAACTATCCAAAAACTATTTAGCCAAAATTAACTGTCTCAAAAAAAAAAAAAAAAAAACATAAAATAAACTATCTTCAGAGCAGCATAATTCAAGGTCTCTACAGTATGTCATTTACAATGTCCTAGATACAATAGAAAATTATTCATATGAAGAAATGGGAAATGTAAACCATTCTCAACATAAAAAACAATCAGTAGAGATCATCCCTAAGGCAATCCAGGTATGTATTAAAAGGCAATGATTTTAATTCAGCTATTATAACTATGATCAATGACTAAAAGAAATTATATTTTTAAATGAATAAGCAGATAAGTAATTTCATCAAAGAAATAAAATCTGTTTTTGAAAGACCAAAAATTCACCACACACAAAAAAAGTGATCATAGAACTAAAACATAAAATTCAGTGATGCACCGTATAACATCCCTTTAGGCAATGTCCAACCACATATATGTCCTTGGTCCCCTAAGATTATGCCTTGCCAGATGCATTAGATGAAAGACAGTACTGTATGTGTACAGTATCTTGGCTATTTAGTCGATATAGGTACACTACATATAGCTCATCAATTGCTCATATGCAAGTTCAAGTTGAAGCTGAAGAAAATTAAAATAAGTTCACAAGAGCCAAATTAGACAACCCTGATTAGACCACACTTGAATTTAGAGACCATTTGAAGAACAGAGTTGACACACTGAACAATGACTGAAGACCAGATGAGTTGTGGGTTGACATCGAGAACATCATACATGAAGAAAGCAAATGGTCATTAAAAAGATAGGAAAGGAAGAAAAGACCAAAATGGATGTCAGAAGAGACTTTGAAACTTGCTCTTGAACAGAGAATAGCTAAAGCAAATGGAAGACATGCTGAAATAAAAGAGCTGAACAGAAGATTTCAAAGGGAACCTAGAGAAGACAAAGTAAAGTATTATAGTGAAATGCACAAAACCCACCAATTCAAAAAACCAAAAGAGAAGAATATGCTTGTCATGTCTCAAGCTGAAAGAACTGAAGACAAAATTGAAGCTTCAAGTTGCAGTATTGAAGGATTCTATGGGCAAAATATTGAACAATGCAGGAAGCATCAAAAGAAGATGGAAGGAAATTTACTGCAGGATAACCACAAAGAAAATTAATAAGTCTTCTAACCAAAATAAGAAAGAGAAAAATTATAAGAACTTAGTAAACACAAAACCAACAATAATTTAAAAAAGGGAAAAAAATACTCAGTAAAAAATGGACTCAGCACAGAAAAATATTTGCAATTAAGAAACCAGCAATAACACAGCAAAAAACACAGAAGAATTACAGCAATACATTCGTATCTATCAGTAATTACACTGAGCATAAATGGACTAAATGCACCAGTGAAGAGAGAATGGCAGGTTGAATAAGAAAAAAGATCCACCAATATGCTACCTACAACAGATCCACCTTAGACACAAAGATAAAAATAAATGAAAAATCAAGGGATGGAAAAAGATATATCAAGTTAATGGCAACCAAAATAGAGCAAGAGTAGCAATATTAATTTCTGATAAAATAGACTTCAAGGCAAATACCAGCGTAAAGGACAAAGAAGGGCATTATATGATATTAAAAGGGTCAATTGACCAAGAGGTCATTACCATGATATATATCTATGCACCCAGTGAAAGTGCTCCAAAATATGTAAAGCAAAAATTAACTGATCTGAAAAGAGAAATAGACAATTCTATTTATAAGTCTCTTATAGTAGTAAGAGACTTTAACACACCACTTTTGATGAAGGACAGAACAACTAGGAAAAAAGTCAACAATGATACAGAAGATCTCAACAACACAATCAATCAACTAGACCTCATAGACATATACAGAACACTCCACCCAATAAAAACATAATACACATTCTTCTCCAGTGGACATGGATCATTCTCCAGAATAGACAACATGTTGGGCCACAAAACAAGCCTCGATAAATTTAAAAACATTGAAATACTACAAAGCATTATCTTGGATCACAATGCTATAAAATTAAAAAACAATAATAGAAAGACCAAAGGAAAAAAGTCAAGTACATGGAAACTGAATAATAGACTGTTCAAGAACTACTGGGTAACAGAAGAAATAAAATGTGAAATAAAAAAAAAATTATAAAAACAAATGAGAATGAAAACACAATTTACCAAAACTGTTGGGACACAGCAAAACCAGTACTCAGAGGTCAATTTACAGCAGTTAATGCACACATCAAAAAAGAAGAAAGAATCAAAATCAACACCTTAACTCAACAACTCCAACAATTAGAAAAAGAGAAACAAAAGAAATGTATAGTCTCCAGAAGAAAGGAAATAATAAAGATCAGAGAATAAATAAATGAGCAGAAAACAAACAACCAATGAAGAAAATAAACAAGACTAGAAGCTAGTTCTTCAAAAAAATTAACAAAGTCAACAAACCATTGGCAAATTTAATGAAGGAAAATAAAGGAAAGATGCAAATAGTATGAATAATGAATGAAATGGTTGACATCACAATAGAACCAACTGAAATTTAAAAAAAGATAATAGACTATTATGAAGAATTGTACTCTAATAAGTTCAAAAACCTAGAAGAGATGGACAAATTTCTAGACACACAATACTTACTAACTAACACAGTCTGAAATAGAATACTTAACAGACCAATAACAAAAGAAGAAATCAAACAAATCACACATACACACACAAAAACCCTCCTGGCCCAGATGGCTTCACTGGATAATTTTAGCAAATGTTCAGAGAAAAGCTGACACCTGTACTACTCAAACTACTCCAGAACATAGAAAATGATGGAATACTCCCAAATTCATTCTATGAAGCAAGCATGACCCTGATACCAAAACCAGGTAAAGACACGACTAAAAAAAGAAAGTTACAGACCAATATCCCTCATGAATATTGACAAAAAAACTTCAACAAAATCTAGTCAGCAGAATTGAACACCACATCAAAAAGCTAATATACCATGACGAAGTGGGATTTATACCTGATATGCAAGGATGGTTCAGCAGCAGAAAAACAATCAGTGTGACCCATCACATAAAGAAAACAAAGGAAAATAACCACATAATCCTATCAATTGATGCATAAAAGGCAGTTGATAGAATCTAACATCCATTTCTCATCAAAACTCTTGGTAAAATAGGAATAGAAGGGAAATTTCTCAATATAATAAAGGGCAAAACCAATAGCCAACATTATTCTCAATGAAGAAAGACTCAAAGAATTCGCCTCGCAAGGAGAACCAGAGAAGGATGCCCTCTATCACCACTTGTACTTAACATTGTATTGGAAGTCCTACCCAGGGCAATAAAGCAAGAAAGAGAAGTAAAATTATTTGCAAGGAAATAAAGCAATCTCTATTTGCAGATGACATGATCTTATACATAGAAAACCCAAGAGATTCAGCAAAGTGGCAGGATACAAGATCAACACACAAAAATCTGTTGGATCTCAACAAAGAGATCTCTGAAAAGGAAATAAGGAAGATGATATCATTTACCAAAAAGATAAAGTACTTAGGAATAAATCTTACCAGGAACACAAAAGACCTATACAAAGAAAACTACAAAACACTAGTACAAGAAACTATAAGAGACCTACATAAATGGAAGAACATGCCATGTTCATTGATAGGAAGATTGAGTATTGTGAAAATGTCAATACTACCCAAAGCAATCTATAAATTCAATGCAATCCCGATCCAGATTCCATCATCATTCTTTAAGGACATAGAAAAACCAATGACTAACTTTATATGGAAAGCAAAGAGCCCTTGGATAAAGCAAAGCACTACTGAAGAAGAAAAACAAAGCAGAAGGTCTCAAAGTCCCCGATCTCAAACCTACTATACAGCCACAGTAGTCAAAATGGCATGGTATTGGTACAACAGTAGACAAATAGACCAGTTGAACAGAATTGAGAATCCAGAAATAGACCATCCATGTATGGACAGCTAATCTTGACAAAGGGCTGAAACTCATTAAATGGAGGGGGGGGGAGTGGAGAGATAGCCTCTTTAACAAATAGTGTTGACAAAATTGGATATCCATTAAAAAAGAAAGAAAGAAAGAAAGAGAAACATGATTCATATCTCACACTATACACAAAAAACGAACTCAAGATGGATCAAAGACCTTAATATAAAACCAAAACTATGAAAGTTCATCAAAGATAAAATAGGGACAAACCTAGGGTCCCTAGTTTATGGCATAAGTTGACTATCAAGCATAACCCAAAATGCACAAGCAGCAGAAGAGAAATGAGATGACTGGGATCCTTTAAAAAAGTAAATTTGTAAGTTCATCAAAAGACTTCTCAGGAGAGTAAAAAGTGAACCTACAGATTGGGAAAAAATATTTTGCTACAATCTGTCCAACAAAGGACTTATCTCTAAAATTTCTAGAAACCTTCAACACCTCAACATAAAAAAGAAAGAAGCAAATCAAAACAACAATGAGATATCATCTCACCCAGCAAAAATAGCAAAGTTCAACAAGGCAGAAAATAACAAGTGCGGGCAAGGATGTGGACAGATTGGAACCCTCATGCGTTGCTGGTGGGACTATAAAATGGTATAGCCTCTGAGGAAAATAATATATCACTTCCTTACAAAGTTGGAAATAGACATACCATTTGATCCAGCAGGAATATATCCTAAAGAGGTGAGACCCAGGACACAAATAGATATATGCACACCCATGTTTACTGTAGCACTATTCACTATAGCAAAGAGATGGAAACAACCTAAGTGCCTATCAACAGATGAATGGACAACCAAACTATGGTACGTTCCCTCAATGGAATACTATGCAACATTGAAGAATAATGAAGAATCCTCAAATCACCTCATAACATGGATGAAGTTCTAGGATATTATGCTGAGTGAAATAAGTCAATCATAGAAGGACAAATATTGTATGAGTTCATTATTATAAAAAGCCAAGGAAGGGTTTACACAAG